CCTCTCTCTCTCTCTCTCTCTCTCTCTCTCTCTCTCTCTCCCTCTCTCTCTCCACCTTCCCCCTTCCCGAAACACAAATGCTCTTTCCTTTCTTCGTTCCCCTCTCACCCCCCCACCAAAAAAAAATAAAATTAAAACAATCCACTTTCCTCTGTGCCTGCCCCCCCCGCCCCCCTTTCCAAGACCCGCTTATTCCCTGATTTGTTTCAATTTCTCTGTATCTGCCTTAGCGTCGACGAACTGTGTTTTATCCCTTTATCCCGAACAAAAAAGAAAAGTCATGGCCTCGCGGGCAAAAGAGGAAGAGGAAGACCAAACAAAAGATGGGAACAGGACATGGTAGAAACCTGGCTTAGACTTAGAACCAAAACAACTCAGACAGGTAGAATGGCAAGAGAGGCAGGGTGTTTTATTTCAGGAAGGTTCCAGAAGAACGTCCTACTGCTGTAAAAACTAAGAAGAGTATATATAGCGTTTCATACGACTCGTTGCGTGACAGATACGATAGTAATCTGTTTTCCCCTCCCCTTTCTGTCTGTCTGTCTATCTATCTGTCTGTCTATCTCTTTGTCTGTCAGTCTACATGTCTGTCTTTTTGTCTGTCCGTCTGTCTCTGTCTCTGTCTCTGTCTCTCTTTCTCTCTCTCTCTCTCTCTCTCTCTAAATCCCGTTCTCTGGATATTATGCCTGAGTAATCACCCAGCCCTCCTGTATTTCAATCATCGGCTCAACCGTTAGCGATCGTTATATAATAAATATAATAATATGATAGTACATAATGTATACACAGAAAGCTGACGACCACAGTGCATAGTGGTGGTCAAATTTCCTATCCGGATAACGGGATCATTCTCAATGAAACATTTTCCGAATTCAGACTCTTAAAATCTCTTTCCTCACCCGTTTCCCGAAGTGGGTGCACCCATTTGTTGAAGTGGTTCTAACTCATTTGTCGAGGTGGTTCTCACCCATTTATTGCCGAAGCAGTTCATAACACATTTAATTGCTGAAGAGATGCACTAACATAGTATCCGGATTTTTATAAAGCGACTCATCGCCCAGCCGTACCAGTGCATTGCCAGCTCGCCCAGGCCTAACCCACCTGTACTCGGTTGGGAAGATAACCACCCCAAGGGGCGCTACTCGTGACAAGACGAGCGTCTCGTCGCTATGTCGCACAGGGTAGCTTCCCCTTGAAGTTTCCGCTGCGCCCGCCGCCCCCCACCGACAAGACTGCGTCGTCTGCTGTGCTTGGTTGAGTCCCACCACCACCGCCACTGATTCAGTGATTGATTGATTGACTGAAAGCCTCACAGGATATTATTGTGCCGATATTATTGCTAGTTGGCATTGTAGAGAGCCGGTCTCGGCACCCGATAGGAAAGACATCTGGAGAAGTTCGCGTTGGTGTGCCCGCACTAGCCGGCGAGACGACAGCGCTAACGCTTTTCTTCGGGCTCTTCATTTTCTTTCTTCACTTCAACACTTTCGGAATGGGGAACGAGCGAGATTCGACCTCAAGAAGTAGTTCTAAGCCCCCGCCACTTGACGGCTGACAAAGGCCCACAACACTTCAAAGAGACGGAGAACAGGTGAGTGTTCCTATTCCGTTTTTATCCCCATTCCACGGTCGTTATTTGATGCTTTGTTTCTTTATTTCCTCTTCTCTCAGTCATAAAATTCTAAATCGTGTGTGCTGAGTACGAGTTCACCCTTCTGTTTACGAGTTTGGCCGAGGGGGTTTATAATGCCAAAGGCGAAATGAATCGGCTTCACCCCCACTTTAAAGCTAATCGTATCAGGCAATTTGATGTAAACTGCATTTCTATTTGGTTAAGAGTATAGAAATATAGATTTTATAGACTCTACCAACGTGGTCATAATCATAAAAACACATGTATCAGAATAGAGAGTCAAATCTTGTCCAGAGACGAACTCGCTGAGCAGCTAAAGACTTGTTGGTATTAATCAATTCTAGATCTAGATCTAGATCTAGATGTTTTAATTTTTATTTTTATTGTGTTGTTGATGTTAAATTATTATTATTATTATTATTATTATCATTATT